CCTAAAGGGTTAGGGGTGCAAGGGTCTTGTAATTTGACAGCTTTAAGACTTGCATGCTTCAATGCCAGAGTTCCTGAGCCAACATGACTGGAGGAGGAATTCTGGGAGTTGAAGTCCACAAGTCTTAAAACTGTCAAGTTTGAACACCCCTGGGGTTTTTTCTCCTAAAGGGTTAGGGGTGCAAGGGTCTTGTAAGTTGACAGCTTTAAGACTTGCATGCTTCAATGCCAGAGTTCCTGAGCCAACATGACTGGAGGAGGAATTCTGGGAGTTGAAGTCCACAAGTCTTAAAGCTGTCAAGTTTGAACACCCCTGGGGGTTTTTCTCCTAAAGGGTTAGGGGTGCAAGGGTCTTGTAACTTGAGACTTGCGTGCTTCAAATGCCAGAGTTTCTGAGCCAACATTTTGGTTGCTAAGCAAGAACGTTGTTAAGTGAGTTTCACTACATTTTACAAGTTGGCCACACCCACCCAGTCACATGACTGCCAAGCCACTCTCACTCGGTCACATGGCCGGCAAGCCACTCCCACAAAGCAGGCCACACCTACAAGAAGAGGTTCTAAAAAATTTTGAAACCCACCACTGATCTGTGGCGTCCATTTTCTCCTACTGGTTTTAAAAGTGAAGTGTGGAGAACAAAAGTCACGGAGGCTCAAACAAACTTGGATGGGATGATGTTAAGAGGAGAGGAACAGCAAACCAAGACTTGACTAAAATATACCAACCCTGATAAAAAGAAAGTCGCGTGCCAAAGTTCCTTGAAGACAGCGCCAAGACTAGAAGAGGTGCTGGTACCATAACTCTGGACGGCCCCTTCTTGGGTGTTATCGGTCGTGCTGGAGCCGTCCCCTTCGCGATGCACTTCCAAGTGGGCGGCTTTCCGTAATTTCCTTGAAAATTCAAAATGGAGGCGTTTTGTAAAGGTAATTCACTAGCAGCGCAACATGGACAGAGTTTTCCCTTCGGTGTGTTTACTGCCGAACAATGGCTTCAGTTAGTTGAAATGAGAAAAATCCCATTTTCGTGAGCGCCTTTTTCTCCGGCGCAAACGATTAGAAGCACTTGCTAACTTCCAGTTAAGCTCATTTATTGCTCAGGCCTTTATAAAAGAAACTTACCATATTTTTCAGAGTATAAGACGCATCTTTTTCCCTCAAAAAAGAGGCTGAAAATCTGGGTGCATCTTATACACTGAATGCAGCATTTTTGGCCTCTCGAAACCCCACTTCCTTCACCAAAATGGCCACGCATAGCCTTTAGGAGACTTTCAGAGAGTTCCTGGGGACTGGGGAGGGCAGAAATGAGCAAAAAATGGGCTATTTTTTGCTCATTTTTGCCCCTACCCCTAGCCCCCAGAAGCACTCTATAACCCTCCTAAAGGATATCCATGCCATTTTTTTGACAAAAAATGGGCCCATTTTCACAAAAAACAGACTGTTTTTTGCTTGTTTTTGCCCCCTCCTGGAGCACTCTACAAGCTTCCTAAAGGCTATTCATGACTTTTTGGGGGGAAACGGGCCCGGTTTCCCAAAAAATGGGCTGTTTTGGGGAGATTTGCAGAGTGCAAAACCTTTTTTTTTTAATTTGCCTTTTCAAAACTTTGGTGCGTCTTATACTCTGAAAAATACAGTAACAGTCAGCACTAAAGTTAGCGGAATTAACAGAATTCAAAAGGAGTTGGACTTAAGACCGTTTGTGGCAATGTAGAGATTCCAGGCTGATTCTTTTCTTGACTCCTCCCCCAGGCTCCGCCTCTCCTTTTCCTACACTTTTCAAATAATAGGATCTTCCCTTTTAATAAGAAATAAAACGTTCAGGAAGGTAGACAAAGGTAAATTCATAAAGGCTTTGATATTCTTAATAACAAACCCAGCCCAGTCTCCCATAACGGTACCTCCTTCTTCTCCCGCCGGTATTTGTGGAGGATTTGGGGGTTCTTGTGGAGACAATCTGGCAGTGCACCGTTCCAAGGAGCAGCATGAGCCATGTTGGGCCGATGACTTCCGTCAGAGGTATGTTGTGCGGGGTTTGTATTGTGAAGAAGAGTATGATGGCAGCCACTGTCAGGAAGAAAAAGAGAGGACACAAATGGAGAAGCCATTCATCGTTCAACCATCGTAAATGCCAGCTCTGACTGGCTCCATCCCCATTTATTCTCTGCCTCCCGAGTCCTAGCGGATCGGGAGGAAATGGGGATTTTGCAGGATCCTTTCCCTGGGGTGGGGATGGAATGGAGATTTTACAGTATCCTTTCCCTGGAGTGGGGAGGGAATGGAGATTTTACAGTATCCTTTCCCTGGAGTGAGGAGGGAATGGAGATTTTGCAGTATCCTTTCCCTGGAGTGGGGAGGGAATGGAGATTTTACAGTATCCTTTCCCTGGAGTGGGGATGGAATGGGAGATTTTACAGTATCCTTTNTTCCCTGGAGTGGGGAGGGAATGGGGATTTTGCAGTAATCTTCCCCTGTCACGCCCACCAAGCCACACTCACGAAGCCATGCCCACAGAATCGGTAGTAAAAAAATTTGAATCCCACCACTGACAAACATAGACTCACATCATCATCATCATCATCTTTTAATGTCCCCATAATCCCTTGTGGGGTGGAGTCTGGGCAACTGAATGGAGCTAGAGTGTTTACTGGCTGGATGCCCTTCCCTGTCGCCAATGCGGAGTTATACTCAGCAGATATATTCTCAATGTGCCCAGAGAGAGAAATATCTGCCTCTACCTAGGATCGAACTCACAGCCTCCTGATTGTGAGGCAAGAGCTCCCCCTCTAGGCCACCGCACCACTCAAACACAGACTCTCACGCATACACACACACACACACACACACACAACCTCATCACATTTTCTGATAGGTGGAAGTAGACTGCTTTCCCATACGGGCCACTCTGAAGTGTCTTCTTGCTGAATGCCTCTTTGGACGCTGTCTTGACTTTGTTTCGTTCCTCGCTTTGCTTCCTCCACGACTTACTAACATTTGTTAAAGGTAAAGGTTCCCCTCCCACATATGTGCTACTCTTTCCCGACTCTAGGGGGGCGGTGCTCATCTCCGTTTGAAAGCTGAAGAGCCAGTGCTGTCCGAAGACGTCTTCGTGGTCATGTGGCCGGCATGACTCAACACCCAAGGCGCATGGAACGCTGTTACCTTCCCACCAAAGGCAATTCCTGTTTTTCTACTTGCATTTTTTACGTGCTTTTGAACTGCTGGGTTGGCAGAAGCTGGGGCAAGTCAAGGGAGCTCCCTCCGTTACGCGGCGATAGGGATTCGAACCGCCAAACTGCTGACCTTTCTGACGGACAAGCTCAGCGTCCTAGCCACTGAGCCACCCTAACATTTGTTACGAGATCCCCCCCCAAAAAACAAAACCCAGCATTGCAAGGGGGAAAAACAAACAGCTTGTTTACATTTGGTAAAAAAGGACCCACCAGCATTGGCCACCAGTAATATAGGCAGTTTTCCAGATTCAAGGTCCTCCTTGATTAGTCTGTCCAGCAAAGCGACGTCCTATCGCCAAGCGAAATAAAGGGGGGGGGAGGGAATAACATGAAGAAAGCATAAATAGACAACACTGTTTTCGTTTAAAAAAAAAGGAGAAGCAGCAGCAAACGAACCTTACCATTTGATGCTGGGAGCCAAACATTGTGTTACACGGCACTCGGCACATGCAGGAAAGAGGTAAGCCGAGCTGTAGAAAGAGAGATGCAACATTCAGGGTCGTCCTGGACTTACGGCCGGTTGCTTAGCAACCGCTCAAGGTTACGACAGAAGGCCCGCCAAAAGATACGGATTGCATAATAATTTTCCTTTGGGCCACGGTAAAAAAAACAACATTACGGTTTACGTACAACTTTTGAGAGGACTCTTGGCAGCTGCATTCAGGATGTTTAGAATATCGCAAAGGGGTGCATTTTCGGTTTAGTCCAGCAACTTTAAACACTCAAAGAGCCACAAAAGTCCTAACTGGAAGCCCCCCCTGTCCCCCGCTCAATTCTGGAGCTTACCGGAAGTCCGGTTCACCCCACCATAGAGTCTCCTCCTAGAATGGCGTTTTTTCTCCTCTGCTGACTGGAAGTCCGGTTCCCCCCACCATAGAGTCTCCTCCTAGAATGACGTTCTTTTTCCTCTGCTGCCCGGAAGTCCGTTCCCCCAACCATAGAGTCTCCTCCTAGAATGGCGTTCTTTTTCCTCTGCTGACCGGAAGTCCGGTTCCCCACCACCACCATAGAGTCTCCTCCTAGAATGATGTTCTTTTTCCTCTGCTGACCGGAAGTCCGGTTCCCCACCACCACCATAGAGTCTCCTCCTAGAATGATGTTCTTTTTCCTCTGCTGACCGGAAGTCCGGTTCCCCACCACCACCATAGAGTCT